GACTAGACTAGACTAGACTAGACTAGACTAGACTAGACTAGACTAGAATAGAATAGAATAGAATAGAATAGAATAGAATAGAATAGAATAGAATAGAAAATATGGAATGGAATAGCGTAGAATTAGAAATAGAATAGAATATAGAATAGAAATATGGAATGGAATATATAGAATTAGAAATAGAATAGAGTATAGAATATAGAATAGAATAGAATAGAATAACTTTTTCCTAATCAATAGGGAAGCCAGATTCAAATTAACAACCATGTTACTAACTTAACAACTTCAGTGATTCACTGAACAACTGTGGCAAGAAAGGTCGTAAAATGGGGTGAAACTCACTTAACCAATGTCTCTCTTAGCAACATAAAATTTGGCTCCATTGTGGTAATAAGTTGAGGACTACTTATAATAGCAGCCCCACCTCTGAGTAAAGATGTTCATGTGAAAACTGAGAAAGCAATTTTTACTATTCTGCACTGTGTTTTCTGTAGAATTCCACGTGGGAGCAGATTTGACAGAACAGATAATTATGGCCGTTTATTTCTCCTTTTGACTGTTTTTACTTCTACTTTCATTTTTAGGTTGTTTTAATCTCTTGTAATTTTCATCTGTTTTTATATTTATAATACTTTTTTGCTCAGTGTCACCCCAAACCATAAGATGAGTGGCATTTACATTGGATAAATAAATATTTTGAGGGGAAAATATCTGCGTAATTCAAATGAAATTTACCACCTATCTCAAATTCATTCTCAAAATATCAAATAGCCAGGGAGGAGTCAAATGATCCTATGATTGTGTGAAGATTTCAAAACTTAACACACTCCGAATTATTACTTTTATTTCATCCTGTTGATTTCTAATATTTGTTTGTTTATTGTGAACAGATGCTTTTATACTGCTTCAGTCGGCCAGACGCTTAAGCCTCCCATAGCGACAACATAAGACACAATAAAACAATACTTATATAAATTGTAATATTTTATTATTACTAACCATTAAATAATCATAAAACCATAGCCTCATACATCAGCCATCAGTAATTCTAAAAAGCTCTTTTAGCTGAGGCATATATTATCCCAGCTTCTAAGAATACTCTATTTCCTTTGGCATTTCTATCTTGAAAATGTCAGATTAGAATTAGAATTAGAATAGAATAGAATAGAAAACAGAATTAGAATAGAAATATTACTATTACTGTTAATCTTGTCATCACTCCTTATCACCCATCCTCTCCCACTTGTGACTGTATGACTGTACAACTTTGTCACTTGTATACTTACGATTTATATTGATTTATATTTACATATTATGTTTCCTAGTATGATTTGATTGCTTATTGTGGGAATTGCTATCTGTTTCCTCGCGCGCGTGCAAGGACAACGGG